AGACAAAGTTGATGAATGAATTTTCTTGGGATATTCACATAACTATGTCACATATGGGGTGTTGAACAAATGAACCAAAAAAGTAGAAGAAACTTTTAATATCACAATTAACGATTACTATGTCAAGAGAGTTGAACAAGAATTCCAAAGAAACCTTTTCTTTCTGACAAAAATGATGAATCTAAGCAGATGCTTACTTTCGATATTGATTTTGATTTACTCTTTGGTATACCTGATAGGGCAACTAATGTTGCAGTCAATATCAAATATAATCAAGTACTAGAAGAATCGAAACATTCTGATGATTCAATCATAACTGATGAACAAAATGATGATCATTTTTCATCAACTTCAAGAGTCAATTTCAAAGGAGATCAAAATTTGGCACATGGTTAAGTGGAGGGGGAGCACTTAACTTCTCAACCTCATGTCGAGGGGGGGGGGATTTGTTTTCTCAACCTTATATCGAGGTAGAGCATTTGACTTCTCCACCTCTAGTTAAGGGGGAGATTTTATATTCCTAAGCTAGTGTTGAGGGGGAGCAACAAACCGCAAATCCATTAGTTGAGCGGGAGCTGAGTGGAACAAATCATGACGATGATAACAATGCTCCAGGTAATGAATATCACGATGTTAATGATAATATTTTCGTTGCATATGAATTTTATGAAGCTGATGAAACATTTGAGGATGAACATTTTGAGTTTGATCCTACATTTCCTCCTTTGGTTAAATGGACTAGGGATCACCCTAAAACAAATTCTTGGTGATCCTATTTCTAGTGTTTTAAGATGAGCACATGTTCTAGATAGGAATGAGATTCTTAATGTTCATCAAGAATATTACGTGTTCAATGTTTTTATTTTAAAAATCAAACCGAAAACAGTCCAGAATGCATTAGAATATCCAGATTGGGTTGTTGCAATGCAATCCCAGTTGGATGAATTCAAAAGAAACAAAGTTTGGAGGTTAATTTCCAAACCTCAAAAATGTTTTGATTGTTGGATTAAAATGGTTCTTTAAAAGCAAAATGATCAAAGAAGGTAATGTGGTTCACAATAAAGCTAGATTAGTGGTAAAAGATTATTCTCAACAAGAGGGAATTGATTACGAAGAAACCTTTTCACATGTCGCAAGACTCGAGACGATACAAATTTTCTTCCATATGTAGCTCACACGAATTTCAATGTCTCTCAAATGGATGTAAAGTGTGTATTTCTCAATGGTGTACAAGAAGAGACGGTTTAAGTTAAGCAGACACTTGGATTCGTAAACGATAAGTTTCTTGATCATTGTTATATACTTGACAAAGCTGTTTATGGGTTAAAACAAGCACCTCATGCTTGGTATTCTATGCTAACCAATTTTTTGAAAATTTCTAAATTTAAGCAAGGATCATTTGATGTTACTCTATTTCAAAAGAAAGTAGGGGATCACCTAATGTTTTTTCAAATTTATGTCGATGGCATAGTATACACGAAACCTACTTGAACGCTTTGGCATGACGAATTGCTCAAAAGTGAAGGTTCTTATCGCAGTTGGCACTCGCTAAAGTCCTTTGTTGGATAAGCCTGATGTTGATCTAAAAACATATTGAAGCATAATTGGTTCGTTAATGTACATAACTACAATTTGACCTAATATTATGTTTTGGATTGTAATTGTGCCAGGTACCAAGTGAATCCCAGGGAACCTCATCTCACGGCAATTAAGAATATTTTTTGTTAGCTTTATAGCACTTTGATGTTGATCTAGAAGATTGTCAAGTGGATCACAAAAGAACTATAGGCAGATGTCAATTCTTAGATAGGAAGATTGTGAGTCGGCAGTTGAAACAGAAAACATGTGTATCGATATTGAAAGTTAAAGTTCAATATATTATTGTTACAACATGTACTTCTCACTAAACTTGGATTCTAAATCAATTATGTGATTATGTGATTAAAATGAAGAAAATTCTACTATATTGTGATTATCAAAGCGCAATTCGCATATGTCATAATCCAGTTCAACATTCCAAAACTAAACATGTTGTACTTCGATGTCATTTCATCAAAGAACATGTCAAAGATGGCAATATCAAAGTACATTTTGTCAGAACAACGGACCAATTGGATGATATTTTTACAAAACCACTAGATGAAAAATTATTTTTGAGAAATTTAAACGAGGTGGGAATGATGGAAGCTTGTTATGTTCCTATTTTAAACTAATTTTTTCTTATAATTGATTTGGGAATTTTTGATCTAACATTCGTTATTGACAAAATTTCGTTCATAGGTTACTATTCATGTTCAACACTTCGAACCACTTCTCTTTCAACATTGGCTCTGACTTGATCAAAAAATGTTGACAACTAGCAAATGGGAAGTAACAACAATTGGGAAGTGGTTATAAATAGGAACCAATAGAAAATGAGAAGTGTCACCAACTAGGAAGTAAAGAAAAATTGGAAGCGTATACTTCTAGGAAGTGATAGCTTATGATATGTGATAGCGAATGGGGAATCTATATCTTCGGGTAGCATCTCAAATGATAAGTGTATACATTTGTGATATGATAGAAAATGGGAAACGTTGGTTATCTTGACAAAACTTCGTTATCAATAATGAATGACCAAGGCTGGTGATATCCTTATTTATTTCCTTTATTTTTTTTTAAAAAGTCAAAAATCCAAAAATGTTTTCTTTATTTATAGTCTCTTCTTTCAAAAAAAAAAAATCACAAATCCAAAAAGATTTTCTTTACTTTTTGTCTTTTCTTTCTAAAAATCAAAAATCTAAAAAAAAATCTTTATTGTTTTGTCTTTTCTTTCTAAAAATTAAAAATCCAAAAAGATTTTCTTTATTTTCGTATTTTCTTTTTTCAAAACAAAATTAAAAAAATATTTTCCTTATTTTCAAATTCCGAAGTCCATTGTAACAATATGTTGCTCATATGCATGTTAAAGCGAAGCTTAATAGGGAACTGTTATCATTCATAAGTCATGTACTAGTTAAGTGTCCCTAGAAGCATGCTGCAACATGTTGTCCAAAGCCTCATTGACTCATTGTGTATGAACCTTAATGAAATTCTACTTATGGAAATTTGTTCCCAATAGGCTATATTAACAATAGTCATCGAACTACCTTTGTCTTCTCAATTTGGGTTAATAGATAACTGCAAGGTCCTATCATCAATAGAGGTACAATGGATTTTCTTAGTCAATCTTTTTCACCCTAAAGTTCTTACACGTGCACACACGATGACACATACCCAAGATATTTCTGGTTAGAAACAACCAGGATGTAGGTATGTCACAATTTTGTGTTAATGATTCTAAGTCATTTTTCCATGATGAGGGTGAAGCCCAACAAACCTAACCAAAAGGAATTGACAGTGAACAATTCATTGTTTAAGATTTTAAGGAAACCTTATGTTTCATTGTACCAATTTCGAAATGTTCAAAATCTCATTTTAATTTCTTATGAGAGATCTTAATGAAGTGTATTAATCCCAAATCATTTCTTCCTAGTAGATCTAGTTCTTTAATTATCTTATGAAATGATATTTTTGTCTGAACATTCTTTCATGATCTAAAGCCACTTTCAAAATATTCCAAAGCTTACTAGTTTTTGACTACACTGATCACACAAGTGTTTTCTTACAATGATTTGCACTTATGTCAAGTTGAAAATTTGTATGAAAACAAAGCCACCAATGAAGCTTATTAAAAGAAGCCCTTTGTAACTCCTAAATGAGTATACGATTGTAATTCACGAGAAACCACACAAGAAATTTTTCATCTGTCTTGATGACGGAGGAAGAGTATCTTTTCCCAAGATCTTATTGCTTTTATATCAAATTTCTTTGATATCACTATGTCTAAAATTTTCTTAATTTGATTCTATCTTTTCTTTTGGCACACAAAAGCACCAAAATCCTCAAAATTTAAGGGTAATACCAACTCATACCAAGATTTCGCAAAGTTTTTTATATGATTTCACTTATAATTCCCATAAGTGAATGAGCCCAACCTCCATATCGATGAATGGTTCTTTGTTCGTAATGAAGTGAGTAGTAGTTCATTTCTTATGTGAATAATGAAGTATCTGTTAGATGGGACATTCTGGTATTTTCTCATGGATCGTGAAAAAAGAGCTCATTACGTTTACACATGGTGGTACAAGGCCTTGACCACTCAATAACCTCCTTTAATCTTGGCATTGGCTAATTGGAACATCATCTAAATTTGAATTTTGTCCTGGTTATAGAAGACAACATGATCATTCAATTTTCCTTTTCTGATTTGCGACATCTATGCAAAAAACCCTAACCCTAATTTTCAATCAAATTCAAATCCCTTGCAATTCATCATGTCTATTGGAAGCCTTATTGCTAATAAATTAAACAAAAACGATGATGACATATCTCAACCAACCATGAAAGTTCAGATGAACAATATTTGGTTCAATCTGTTGATCAAGGATTATCTAGACAAATTATAGATGCTTGATCAACTGTTGAATGATTCCATTCTCACACATGCATTAACTACACATTTTGCTATTCCGATGAAGTGGTTGTCTCTTGCTAGTCTAACTGCTATGTACAATAAACTAGAGAAATCGCCACATTATAAATGGAATAGAACAAGAGTAAATGGTTGAATAAGAATCAATTTGCCTAAATTTTGGAATTATCGTCTGATGGAATGTTCTATGAGGTTACGAGGAAGGAATGTTCTATGAGGTTACTAGTCAAAAATGTTGCATATGTTTAATACAATGGGGTATTAGCTAACTCTCTCACTTGTTAGGAATTTCAAGATGTCGAATCTTCCTAGAATATGCAACTTTTTCTTTGGCATTGCCCTTCGATGTTTAATTGGTATGCATTTTGATTTAGATAAGGATAAAATCAAGTTTTACTCTATTATGGTTGCCTCATATTATGACTTATATATGGATTATATCTCTTTGCTTTGGGTTTAGTTTGATGCACCAATGTCACATTTGAAGATGTCTACTAAAGTATCTACTTCTCGATTTTGGAGTTTGATTTTACATGAGGTTTATAACCAAGCAGGAGTTCTAGTACCTGATGATGATGAGGTTGCTACATTTTCTCAGTTGCATATCTTAAATATGCTCTTGATTATTCAGTTTTGTTTCTTGCTGTTGGTCATCTTCCAGATGCAACACTTAATTTGGTATCTACTATTATTAAGCTTTTGGTTCAATATAAAACTTCTATGGATCCAACTCCTACAAGTGTTCTTCCTATGAAGGTTATTTTTAAGATGTATATGGATCTTCAAAAGAATCTCAGGGTATAAAGATGAAGAAGTCAATTGTGAATCCTAAAATAGTTGAGAGGGAAGCATCTCAAAAAATGTGTTTGAGAAGTTTGGAAAGGGGGTTCTTAAGAAAATATCAAAACATGTTCCTAAAAAATCTACAGGTGTTGATTATGAGAAGTTTGATGAGAAGGTTAATGAGGATACTCAAGAGGTTGTCTCTATAAAGCCTTAAAGACAAAAGATGAAGTTGAAAAAGCAAAGGGTTATGAACTAAGGAGTTTATATTCATGTTTCCCCGAAATCAAAAAAGAGAAAATCTTTCGAAGTCTTGCATAGACTTAAGGAAATCAAGCCTTCTTCTAATGAAACACCATTAACCAATGTTATCGAGATTGATTATGACAGTGAAGCCCCAAAATACGCATTGGATGGTTCTTTTCATGTTTCACTTGGGAATGATATCTCTGTCAAATCAAATTTTGAGGAGACAGGTAATCCTGGTGTCACTGCAAATGTATCTAATACGGATGCAAACATCAATTCTAGTGAACTAGTTATTACTTTATTCCGTGAGAAGCCTCTAGTCTCACCACCCAAAGTTAATATTTCCAAGTCCAATATGGATGAGGGTATTACTTTAAACATCAATGAGAACATATCTAATACATATTCAAATGTTAATATGGGTGAATGGGATTTCGACATCTTCCCTCGTTATTTATGTTGTGCCACCAGCACCACCTTCATCACCACCACCAAATTCCATGATCGTTTCGACTTCAGTTCATGTGGTGTCACCTACATTTCAATGAGTGAAGAATGAAGCTATTGCATCTTTTTTTTCATCTCAAACAACTAAGCAAGAGCAAAATGTTAATGAAGTAGAAGATGAAGATGATGTCATGGTTGATTTTGCAAAATTGGAGTTTAATCTGGAGGAAGAAGATGTTCTTGATAATGCTATCATGTTAGGTAAACAATTTAATATCTTGAATTCTAAACTTAATTCCATTTTTTAATTACTGAATGATAGTGCAGGGAAGTCGATTATTAGTGGGAAAGAGATCAAATAGTTGCTACAATCTCAAGAGTCTAGGACTAAGACTTTGATTAAAGGAGTTGATAAGCGCATTGATGAAAGGTTGGATCTTCATTCTCGAAATTTTAATCACAAAATTGAGAAGTTGGAAGATGTTTCCAAATATAGACATGTACTATTTGAGAAGATGGTAAATTCATCAAAATAGTCAATCGAGTTCAATCTTACTGAACTTCGCAATATGTTCTCACAAGAAGTTACAAAGTTGGATACATTTCATAAAAAAGTTCAAGATAAAGTTGATCTTTTGATGGGAACTTCTCAAAAATTGGTCCAAGATATTAATTCTTTTACCACAAGTTATTCGTTTGGAACGAAAAGTAAGTTAGACGAAGATGGGAAAATGTTTACTCAGATAGAGAAGTATTTGACTGGGTTTTAGGATACATTGTTGAAGTTTGATTTTCAAACAACTGCTTCAATTTCTCAAGACTCAATATCTACTATGGTCTCTTCTATTGACACATGTTTCAAGATAGAGCTTGCACTGATCCTTGACCTAGTCCTTCTTCTTCCAACTAATGCTCCGCACTCTGCAAATATGTTGTAATGGAGTGAAAGGGGGTTTGGTTCGTCAAACTTAGCTACCAATCAAACCAATCGTGACAACATTTGCTTTAATAACAATTGATCCAACTGTCAATTGTAGCACCTGGTTTCTGGTATGTAAATCTTATTCGAACATTTCCCATTTTAGCCTTGGACTCGGCGAGTCATGGGTCCGACTCGCCGATTAGAGACGCGACCCAGGTCACGTTTTAAGTTGGCGACTCAGCGAGTCCATATCCTAGACTCGGCGAGTCGCCGCTGTTGGATGAAACCCTAAGTTTCAGGGGTTTGCACCCTATTTAAACGACTTAACTGCCCCAAGCCAGCCCCCATTCACCCTTAGAGCCCTGTATACCTCGTCCTAAGATGTTCCTTGAGAGTTTGAGACTTTTGTGGGTGGTTTTAAAGGTTTTGAAGGAGGAAAGAAGTAGATCCAGAAGAAGGAAAGCCAACCAAGCAACTATTGTGTTCTTCCAGCAGTTCCTTTGAGGTATAACCCGTTTTCCCCATGATTCTATGCTTAAAACTTCATTTGGGTCTTTCTTGGTCAAATCCCCAAGCTTGTATGTGCATTATATGTCGTATTAAGATGTTTGGCCTCTGGATCTAAGCAAGATTGAGCTCCAGGAGCTCAGATCTGTTAGCTTTATGGCCCCATGTTGCTTGTTAGCCCTAGATCTACCCTTTTAAGGCATTTTGAGCCCTAAAATCCATATTGGTGAATATCCACACGTAAAGTTAGAAACTTTACGTGTGATTTGTGTCCTAGAAGCCCAGATGTATGAATGGCATGGACTGAAATCGATCAAATCGGTGTATTTGGTGGATGCATGGCGGCGACTCGGCGAGTCGTATAGGTGACTCGGCGAGTCTGGTTGCGAGTCACCGAATTGGTCCCTTCATGATGTATCGAGTTGAGCCATGAGTCACAGGGGGTGACTCGGTGAGTTGGGAGTTGAACTCACCCATGATAGGACTCGGCGAGTCAATGCCCTGACTCGGCGAGTCCAAGGCAATCTTCATAGATCAAGAACAGACTCGGCGAGTTGTTCATACAACTCGGCGAGTCTTAGCATATGTGTTCTTCGGATGAAGATGAAATCGACAGTTGTTCATACAACTCGACGAGTAGGATGAAGGAGTTGAATGTCAGTTTAGAAGATGAACTCGTCGAGTCATAGCCTAACTCGACGAGTAGAATCAGGGACCCAAGACAATTGTCTGGACAGGGACTCGGCGAGTGGAGATCCACTCGGCGAGTCGGGTCAACTAAAAGTTGACTCCGAATTGACTTAGGGCTAGACCAGGGGTAAAATGGTCTTTTTACCCAAAGGACAGTTAACAGTGTATGATTAAGTATATTGTGGGAATTACAGCCGGGGAGTTTCCGGAGCAGCAACAGCAGTAGTAGGTGATCAATTCCCACACAGACCAGCAACTATTTCGAGGTGAGTTTCCTTCCAGTAGTAATGGGTCTAAGGCACCAAGGCCGGCCCGTATAGACGAGACGTTAGTATTAGAGTGTGGGCCGAGCCCGTATCTCTTAGTGAGTTGATTATGATATATGCCAGTATGATAGAATTATTTACACTTGTTGTCTGTGTGATACTTGTATGATATGAGTTGGTGGTTGAGTGTGGGCGAGGCCCGTATCTCTCCGAGAGTGGAGTGTGGGCTAGGCCCGTATCTCCCAGATAGCGAAGTATGGGCGGGGCCCGTATCTTCACGAATGTGGGCGTGGCCCGTATCTCCCAGAAAGCGAAGTGTGGGTGGGGTCCGTATCTTCACGAGTGTGGGCGTGGCCCGTATCTCCTAATTATGGGGGAGCTCACTAAGCTTTGTGCTTACGGTTTCAGTTTTGGTTTCAGGTACCTCCTCAGCTAGGGGAAAGGAGCCGGTGCGGTAGCAGCATGTCACACACACACACTCTCCGGTTTCCGCATTTACGAGCTTTTCTGGGATTGATACTCTGATATTCTGATTAGTTGTATGTTTTGGTTTTCAGACATGGTTCAGTTTATATTATGGATGATCGAATGATGTTTTAGTTATTAATATTTTCTAAAGTAACGTTTTTAAACAAAAAAAATTTGATGTGAAAATTGGGTCGTTACAAGTTGGTATCAGAGCCCTGGTTTGAGGGATTCGGACACGTCATCGGGAGTGTCTGAACTCAAATTGAGGGATTGAAAGATTTTCTAATAGAAAATGTTCTCTAAAATTTAGAAAAGAGTCTTAAGAACGAGCGAAGTGTGTGACGTGCGCGACCGGCCGAGCTCAAGTAAGTATTCCCCATAGTACCCATACAAGTTTATGTTATGTTTATCAGCTTTCGTAGAACCGCATGCTAGAATAGGACTAAGGATCTAGGAGTGATGCCTTATGTGCCTACTATTCGTGTTTCAGTTGTATGAGAAATTGCATGCTAGTTACGGAGTAGACAGTTAGTAGGATAGCCGGAATAGGTTATGCCTGGTAGTATGAGCTTAGCACTATATGCTAGCTCAGTTCCTGAAAGTGGATAGAGTTAATTGAGATTGTTACCCTTGTCTGAATGCTGCTTGCTTCGTGCTTCGTGGGACTCTGAATAATGGGAGTTAGCCATTAGTCGAATGCGTCACGTCACATGTAATTAGGATTCGATAATCTTAGAGTGCCGAATTTGATCCTGCTGCGCAGCTCTTGTTTGAGTCCAACCGTTGTAGGGACGAGTCTGGTACTCGAAGGATTATCTGAGCCTCTTTACATGTGATGGCATTCGGGTAATGGCCAACTGGCATTATAATGAGGCCTGCAGCAGCTGAGGACTGGTTAGAGTAAAATTAGAGATCTCCCTAGGGCAAGCCTAGGACGAGTATAGCTTTGATCAGCAGTAGTGAAGGGGATTTGGTGGAGTCGAGGAATTCCTTGGAGAAGGTATGGATAGATATGGAAGGTAGTATGGGCCCGTACTACTGAAAGCAGAGGATCCGTACCCGAACCAAGGAAGGACAAGATGAGACTAGGGAACCTGTAAGTAGTTGAAATCCCTCAGAAAGTAGCAGTATCACTAATGATTATTGTGATGTATTGCAGAATGGTGGTACTTCCATCGAGACCGGCAGATGGCGGTTCAGGAGAGGGGTCAGGTTCGGGATCAGGCTCCGAGCCGATTGATGAGAGGCTACGTGAGTTCATCACGTCGGAGATCACCAGGGGCATCCGTGAGTCGACCCCCATTCTCTTTGGGTCGATCAAGGAAGGGATCATGGAGTTGATGGAGGATCGCCTACGGGCATTCAGGAGAGATTTAGCCTCTAGCCAGTCAGGATCTCGCACACTGTCCTTCAAGGACTTTAGGGGCAGTGGTGCGCCGGATTTCCATGGGGTGAAGGACCCCATTGTCGCCAGGCGATGGATTGCAGATATCGAGTCTGCCCAGTTGACTAGCTTCTACCCCGAGGGGTCGAAGGTGAGATACGCAACAGGGTGTTTACGAGACCGAGCCCGGGATTGGGGGGAGTCAGTGGGTGACTCGTTGGGAGCCTCAGCTATCGAGGCAATGACCTGGTCAGACTTTGTGACCAGGTTCAGGGCAGAGTTTGCACCGGCTGTCGAGCTTCAGCAGCTGGCCAGGGAGTTTCTAGACATGAGGCAGACAACAGAAACTGTGGCGGAGATCACCACCAAGTTCCGGGAGAGGGCTTTATTGGTGCCCCAGTATGCCGGTGACGAGGACATGAGGAGGACTCGTTACCATGATATGCTACGAGCTGACATCCGGGAGCATGTTAGCTTTTCGGTTTGCCCTACCCTGGACTCTATGATTGCCAGGGCTAGGGAGAGGGAGATAGATTTGGAGCACATCCGGAAACGGAAACTAGAGGACGGTCAGGCAGGAGGGGCTTCGGGGAAGAAGCCCAAGGGATCAGATGGTAGGCCGAAAGGTCAGTTAGGATCGAGCCGCTGCGGGAAATGCGGCAGGACGCACGTGGGGGTATGTAGGATGGGATCAGGAGGCTGCTACAAGTGCGGCAAGACAGGGCACTTTAGCAGGGATTGTACTGCTCCAGCTTCAGCTATTCAGACATCCGAGTTGCTGTGTTTTCACTGCAACCAGAGGGGCCACAAGAAGGCCAATTACCCCCAGTTGACAGTTGCAGCGCCAGTGAAGGGGCCAGGTCCAGCGACCCTGC